CTAGCGAAATCTGTCAATCACAAAAGCAATCCATTTGCAATTGTCAACGTAATGCACATCTGAGGGGTAGAAATGAAGATCTTGATTCCACATGTTCGTCATATGAGAACATAAAAACGTACCAAGGTCTTCTTGTAGGTATGAATGTGATAGCAAAGCCAGTACATTCTATAAACCACTTCAAGGCAGGAATCCTCTGATAAAGCAAAACTTTATGAGTATCTTAGTTATATTTATTATTGTATAGTAATAGTAACACTTATAATAATAGTATATCAAATTAATTTTTTGAAATAAATGATGAGCATCCATGCCAGAAAGTGCAAATTCTAGGTTGTGTACAGGATTAAAGTTCACACTTCACAGGATTAGGAAAGAAAACTGAGAATTGCTTTCAAGTTGCTTGCATTTACTTGTTTTCCTGCCATCATAGAACATTCGTAGATCCCCTCCAGCAGAAAAAGCACGGCCAGCTCCCTGAATAAACATTAGCAGCAAACGGAGATGTAGAAGGTCTATAAATGGAGTTATTTTGTTCACGGGTATACTGTTATATTCTTTCTCTTTTCATTATTATTTGTCGCTCATAAATGACTTCACACACTCTACTGGCCACTTTTGGTTATTTCTTTCAGTAATTAAAAAGTGGATGCTATGTAAATTATAACTGTCATATAAAATAATTTCTAATGTCTATGATCGAGTTAAACCTGAAACCTATGCATCAATAGAAGATTTTTCATAAAAGTAAAACATTGCAAAGATCAATATTGCTAGGTCGAAAATTCAGTAGGTATTACAACTGACTTAATTAATATAAGCTCAGCAACATCATCTTTCTCCCATTTCTCCAGATATTCTGCTAGCAAGGATACCTGATTACATGGACTGCCAATTAGTTCAATTCTAAATACATTCCCATTTTATTCATTCACTAAATCATTAGACCTAATCTAAATTACATCATATAATTTTTACATTTGAACTAACTGCTCCCTTTTTAGAGTAGATTGCAGACAGATTCAAGATAAGGCTTCATAATTTGTCAGATTACATGAAGAACTAGTGTATAAAATGAATGGGAATTGAAGTAACTAGAGCTGAAAAAAAAAACAATATGTTCAACTTAAAGCTGAATCCAATTCAATACGAGCAAAATATAATGAAGATACCACATCGGATGAGATGACATTCAACTGACGAGGACGGTTGAGGGTTATCAATCTCACACGCCCTACTTCTTCTCCCAGAACAACCTGTAAATTAATCGAGGCGATAACCATGTTTGAGAAATTCAGAGCATCAGCACTCTTTACAGTTTAACAAGGTAGATGGTAAATACAAAAGAAAAGAAAGACGAATACCTGGTCAGAGGGGTTGGGAAATTGTTCAGCCATTTTTTCCAGTTGACAAGACAGCTCAAAAAGCTATTCAATTAATCGAGTGATAATGCGTTACAATCCCAACGAAAGAGTGAAATTGAAGGGAAAATTTGATGTAATTCCAAGAAAAGCATTAGAAGAGTAGATTTCTAGAGCATTAGAACCGAAACCAAAAGCGAATAGAACTTACAGTGACAGATCGCACGGAAGTTTAGTTGATGAAGAAAGAGGAAGAGCGAAGATTATATGAGGGAATTTGGTGGATTAGTAGAGAGGAGGGACAAGTACTAATGGCGACTCATCTCACCTAACACCAGAGCTAACGTGACCAACTATCACTTCACATTTTCCTCTCTTTCCTTACCTAACCTTCCCCCTTTGAATTGCCATATTTACAACCCCTAGTTTATTTATATTGCTTTCCCATCGACTTGATACAAATAGAAAGAAGATAATCTCACATCATCCAAAGCTCACTAATCGCATGAACACTTTGCTACAGGTTTATAATTGCCAGATTTACAATCCCGAGCTTATTTATATTGCTTCGTCATCGACTTGATACAAAAAGAAAGAAGATAATCCCCATCATCTGAAGCTCACTGATTGAATGAACATTTTGCTATAGGCTTATATCAGTTTCGAACCAGAACAGTGCGTCTTCTTCCTGGTTTGCTTTTGAAAACAAGGCACTTCCATAACCATTTAAATGATAATACTCTTCCTTTCTCGTCTACGTATCGATGAATCACAATCAATCAAAACTCTCGTTTCTTGATTTGCTTCTTCCATGTACAAAATCAAAATGTTCTTCTGCTTCTTCAAATCAGCTGAAAATCCCTATAAATATGATATGGTTCAAACAACATATGAGACTTCATAAATTGAATAATTCAAATATTTCACACTGTAATGTTCGGTGATATATTACTTATAAATAATATTTTAATATTTAACTATTTTTAATATAATAAAAAATTAAAAACATAAAATTTAAAAAATAAGTTGCAATTTTATTAAAGCTGAAAAAAATAGTTTTTTTTATTTTTTTAATTTTACTTTTTGATGTTTTTAATTTTAATATTAAAAATAATTAAATATTAAAATATTATTTATACGTCAAATATCATATTACATGTAATGTAATAAAGATATTTAAGTAGTCAATTTAGCATTTAGA